CCCCCCTCCCTGTGTGTACTTTTGTTGAATTTCAGGAATGATGCTGCATGGATATGTCATTGGCATCTTATGAACTCCATTCACTACCATTACTCATTAGGCTGTATTCTTGTCAAAATTATGCTATGAATGACCCCATAGTCATAATCACTTCATATCTCTCTATAATAAAATGGCCAATGTTTCATCAACGCCTGATATATATTTCAGAACAGTACAATTAACTTGTTTCATTTTATCTTTCTGTCTTTCAGATAGTCGACCTAAAATGTCAAGGGTATACAATTCCTACAGAAAAAGATTTGTTTCCTTGGAGGAGGCTGAATCTCATCATATTTTGGCTTGTCTATATATGACAGTTTGGCTGAGCTTGTAATTGACAACAGAAAAGATCATTTTACCAAAACACACAAGCCTGTAAATGTTGAATCTCAGACATACAACCAAACAGCATCACAATGCGAACTGAAACACCACAACCTGCAGACATTGCTCAATCATTGCCCACATTGGAAAGTGTATTAAAATTGGCAAGCCATTTGGAGAATACTCATTGCATCTCATTCATAACACAGACTGTCCAGTAAAGCAATGATAAGGCATATTTTAAACTTTATTCATACGGTACTTCATCAGTTTTACATTATTTCACATTACACCATAGTATATATTATTGACATTAAGCCATGCTGTAGTAATGTGTAAAATAGGGGTGCACCAGAACCAATTTTTAAAGTTCCTGCTGGAACTCCAAAAAAATTCTGGCCGGAACTATTTTATACATATAATTATCGAGACCAGAGGCCAGTCGGTTAAAAAAGCTCTGCAGTTAGTGCGAAAGTTAACAAAAATAACATGTTTTCCAGTAAACTTTGTTTACTACAAAATAGCACTTTACAAGTGGCCCGGCCTAGACCTATCTACCAGCCGCCGTATGGACAATCACTTTTGAAAAATAAGAATTTTAAACGGCCACTTTTTAAAAGATGACCTACGCAAATGCTTTCTCTTTAAAGCCTAGTTTCCATTTGGTCGTTAGCTGGCACGACAAGCGGTAGATGTGAAATAGTCTAATATAATAATAGTCTGTTCGTGTGTTATATGCAAATCAGTCTTAATGATTGCAGAGTTTTATAAAGTTTTGTTGACACTCTATTACATCAGCCACTTGTCATTCCAATAAAGATTGTCTCAACCATTATGACACCGGAGTACTGTTGCAACTTGATCGGCAAAGGGCACTCCCGATTCACCAGCTACCACACAACATATATAAATGGTTGCTTTATTATCTTTAATCACTTCCTTACACCACTCTAGCCGATTTTGAGGAATGGTTGTTACAACAACGTTTCCTGCAACAGATTCAACCACGATTTTTTTTTTCGTATCGCCAGTGTAGAACACCAAGATATAATGGTCGCAACAATAACACTTGATCTTAAAATTCTTAAGATCCGATCCTTTAGCCTCTTTGCTGATGACAATCGAACGTGCTGTCTCCATCACATCCCGGAAAGTGCTGCAGCCATCACCATATTTTGCAATGCTTTTATGTATTTTGTCAGCTATTACTCTGGGGCTACATTCTATTGGAACTGTTTCACATTCCTAGAATAACAATAGTTAAAATTAAGCAATGTACACACAACAAAACCTCAATATCAAATATTTTTTTTCAAACAAGTCCCCCTCCGCTAACTCTAATAACCCCCACAAATTAATAAGTCCCCATCTTAGTCTGCGATAGCAGACTGATCTCAGCCGACCCCCCCTGGCGTGGCGGAAAAACAGTCCGCAATCAATCAACACTAATGAATGCTGTACAGTTGCCCCCGCAAAAGGAGGGGGGGGGGGGGGGGAATACAATTGGTTGAAATTTTCCTTTGTGATCACGCCGAAAATGACATAAATTACCTTGTTAAAATGACGGATTTCCAAAGTTTGAAGAGAGCAGTTCAAGACGTTAAATCCCTTTTTTCTGTCAATACATTAATTAAAGAAAGTTCAACTTAGTATCACAGAGAGAGAGATGTGCAGGGGCGCCGGAAAGTCGATAACTGGGGGCAGATATTCATATTCATGTTCTGCATCATTTATTTCCTTTGAAAGTGATTGTTTTTACAGTCTGTGAACATGAATATATAAATATCTGACCCCCCCAATTATCGACTTTCCGGCACCCCTGGAGATGTGTTAACCTGCCAACTTTTATCAAATGGCTCTTATGGTTGTGAAACAGCGCCATCTCGGACATGACATTTTTTGAATAATTTTACTGTAAATTAATTATGCAAAGTACTGTTTACGTAACTGTACGGCATCAGTGTTGATTGATCGCAGACTGTTTCTCTGCCGCTCCAGGGGGGTCAGCTGAGATCAGTCTGCTATCACAGACTACCCCCACCTTAGCTCTCCAGATATATCTGGCAGGATAGTGAGATAACATCTGTCATAATTGATATTGTTATTATAGCTGCTGGGGCACTGTGCCATTGCAATACATTACAGTTATTTTACTTGTCAAGGGAGAGTCTTGTGCTTTTTTATGGGGTAAAAATCAGTACATGCTGTACAATTCCAACAGAAATCTATTTAAACATGCTGGCTTGAACATATTATTTACATGAAATTTTACAAGTTAAACTAGTTAAGCTAGTCCAATCAGATATTTTTGCAAAAATCTGTGAAAAATCCACCTGAATAGAATTAGTATAAAACCATGGGCCATAAACATGCCCCATGGTTTATTCCACTGACATTTTTACGCAGACAATTTCCTTGCGACTACTTTTTAGATAGAGTAATGCATGAGTCAATTCCAGTTGTAACCATCCCCCCCCCCCCCGGCT